CCTCACGGAGCCCCGCGGGCTCGGGGCGGCGGGTCAGGCCCAGAGCCCGGCAAAGCTGCGAGAAAGAGAAGGGAAACGCGTGGAAAAGAAAGAGGAAAAGCCCTGCTGTCTGAACACCCTTGGACAGGGGGAAACCAAAGGCTGTGGGCCACACAGGCGCTCGTAGTGACAGCCGAGTCCGGTGATTGTGCAAATTCCCAAGGGGGCTCAAAGCTTACCTAAAAGTCTCAATATTTCGTCCCCTCCCTTGTTCTGGTGGGCCTTAACTTTTACCACAGGGCAAGAAAATTAAACGTGCTTGCTGATGCAAGCCATCAGCGCTGTTCCAATAGATACACATCGTGTCGCTTTACAAAGTGGAACAGAAAATTAAGGAACTCTGCAGCTGACCACAGACTTCTACCAGTGTGCTACAAAGTGATGAACAGAGGGAACCTGGTCTCTGAGCTTCCCGGTAGTTCTTCAGAGAGAATTATACTATTCCCACAGCACTCCTCATCGACAGGAACAATGCTTGTGACTAAGCAGCTCATGATAAGAAGGACTGAAGAAGATAGAGATAAATGTACTCAGATGCCCAGCAAAGGTTTCTAAGCTAATCCTAAAGACTTGTACACAATCAGAAAGGGATACAGTTTTTAAAGCTGTATTCTTATGGAAAAATCTCTACTCTTATGTACATATATTCAACATTCAGTGATGTTATTTCTGTGCTTCATGCCATGTTCTGTCATGTCAAATATCTGTGTAACTCTTCTTAACACCATAAAACACAGCAAAACTCATTTCAGCATCAGAACTGTAGCATCAGAACTGTTTTGAAATGTTGGTAGGAGTTGGGTTCAACAACCTTCGTTCTCAATAAGAACATGACAAATAACGTTTCTGCTGAAGTCAACAAAAAACTCACAGGAGTGTGTGTCCATCCCAGAGAATGGATTTATTTCAAAAAACACAGAAGAATTTCTGTAGCTCATGCCTTAGTTCAAGACAGGAATCGTATCTTCATAGTTTTTTTACCACGCCTAACACATATCATAATCACATGGTGTGACTGAAATAAAACTGTAATTATCTTCTGTTACCACCTTTTTGTATGTTTGGCATTCTAATCCTTATCCACAGTCAGTTTAAAAAGCAGATAAACCTATTAAGTTAACGGTAAAACTAAACACATTATTATATTTGAGAAGAAAGGCTGGTAATTGATATACACAAGTTCTCAGAACTGCACCTGGAAACAACAGAAAAGCAGGGAAAAGGTGATTTTCATTCACTATAGGTAGGATATGAAACAAAGCATAAATGCATGTAGAAATTCTGCTATTTCCCTGCTTTCCTTTGGACTTTACCTTCCACCTTTTCATATTCTGGAAATTCAGATTGATTTATGTGACTTTAAAAGAGCACTTGTGAAACTGAGAAAGCTGCTATACTACTCTCAGCCTTTGCATTTTGAGGCAAATTTTGAGGCTTGTTAATTTTTTCCTGCCCTCTTTTAATACCCTTAATTCTGAGAAAGAAGATTAGGGGGAAGGGAGAAGGACAGGAAGGGAGGAAAATTAAGAAATAAGGAGAAAAGAGAAAGAATTTCATGTTTAAAAAAAAAAAGAAAGAGGAGGGAACAGAAGATAAAAAGGAGAAAAAAAGAAAAGATAAAAGAAGGGCTAAAAAATAAAAGGAAAATATTTTAAAAAGGAAAATCAGAAAGAAATAAAGTGAGAAAGAAGTTATAAAACAAAAAAAAAAAGAAAATCAAAAGCAAGGCTGAAATAAAGGTGGAAAAAAGGAAGAAATGAGAGAAGTCAAGATTTCTTGCAGACCCTAAACCACTTAAAAAGTTCAGGTTCTTGGAGGGAAGACTCTTAGAGGGCAGAGAATAAGAAGAGAACCAAAGTGGAGCCATAGTCTGTAAAGCAGAAGTGAACTTGTGCCCAAGGTCTATTTTCTTCTCTACAGCATAAAGTGTGTGTAGAACATTTGGAAACTGATCTGAGTGAAGCTGGATCCATAACTGTGGTGATAGTTGCTCCTGAGGGGCCCATTCCCACACTTCTTACTCATGTGAATTGTCCCTTGGATGCTAATGGGATTACTCTTGTAAATCAGGGATGCCATATCAGCCCAGAGCCCAGGGTTATACTGATCATGAAGGGCTTGATCTTGCAAACCTCATTCGTGTGAATAACCCATTTTCATGACAATTTTCCTATCAACTTGAAGAACTATCTGTGTAGCCAAAGACAGTAGAATCAGGACACAAGTTTTAGGGTCAGCATAAAAGTAGGAATAAAAGAGTTTTTCATTTAACCTCCAGCAAGGAATGGATACTCCCCAAGAAGGCCAGATAAGTGCAGTCATTCTCTTTTAACTGCAGGGAGGACAAAAGAGAGGCAAGTATTGATCAGACTTGTTCTGTCCTGTCTCCTTCTCTGGCTCCATTTATTTACCATAATTAGAATGGTAAAGAAGGTAGCAAGAGAACATTTTCAGCACACCTTAAGCTTTTTTTCACCCCCTCCTTGATAATATAAATCAGTTTTTTCTTCAAGCAGAACTGGCAAATTATGCCTGCTTCATGAAATAAACCAGTGCTTTGCAGAGTAAAACAGATCGTGAACATTAAGATCCAATCCATATTTTAACTTAAAATCTGAAATGCTGTTTAAATACCACAAGAAAAGTGTTACAAAAATGTTTAGTATGACGGACCAGAGTAATTTTTTGTGCTACTCTATTAAAATCTGCACCTTCTGGTTAGGAAGCACTTTCACTATATCAAATGTTGACACCTATGTAATTTCGCTGTGATTCACACACTTCCTCTTCCTTATAAGATCTCAAGCTGCCGTCTGGTTCCTCTAGGGAGCTGTTTCAAAAACAGCAAGGATCATTGTTCCTTTGGGAATGCTTCCTGCTGGATGCAGCTCAGTGAAGGCTTCTCTGGCATAAGTTATCTTTTGGTAGAGCTTCTAACACTCAAAGAGCAGTGTCCATCCAGTCGTTTATCCATGCCACTGTTTAGAAGACAACAGTTCATAATACTGGGATTTGCCATTTCTTTCAGAATTCTAGATGCTCACTTGTGAGACAGAAACAATTTTTGAGGTGACCAGTCACTGTGGGTGGTGACCAACAGGCAGTGAGAGAAAAAAGATACAAACTCCACAAAGCACAGGATTGGTTACATCTGCTGGTTATATGCCCAGCTATACATCATTTCTACATTGTGCACAGACCCCACAAAGCTCATTTACTGGTCATTATCAAGTTATCATCTAAAGTTGTTTATACTCAAAAGTCAGGTGCAGAGCAACCATAAGAAATAGTACAACACAGGAAAATGATCTCTACTCTGTGCCCTATCTGCTTGATCTCTCACTTGAAGAATAACTCAGAAAGGGATTGGCAGGCATGTAGGAAAACCTTTTTAGTAGGTCTATTGGACCTTTTTTATTTTTATTTTTCCTCCTTGATTCCTTTTTCACTGCATAAGAATACTGCAACAGCCATCTCGCTTCTGAAAATAAGTCTGCACACAACCACCTTTGCAGCTGGCAGTAGTGCATTTGTGGTGAAGTGAGGTGTTTTGGGATGCTATTTCAGCTGTACCATTGTTTTGGTTAGGAAAGCAAGATATTATTGCCATTAAAAGACATGAGAAAGATGATATATGCCCATAAAACAGATTTTTCAGCCACCATAGTAACTTTCTTTTAAACTAATGCAATGAGATTTTGTTAAACATTATTACATACAGCTAACAGAACAAAATCTGATCCTTTAAAATAACACTGAAGTAGCAGAAGGAGAAAGGATTCACTATAAAAGCAGAATGCTTTTCAAATTTCACTTCACAGATTGAAATGACAGAGTATAGAGAGCAAAATGGTTTTTAAGACATAGAGGTTCTGAGCATTTATATAAGAGTCCAGTGGGTTTTACTTGTTATTGTACTACTCCTCTGCTCCAGAGACACAAGGAAATTATAAAACTGGAGACCAGACTGGAAGATTTCTTGCCACAGTGACACTTCAACTGCACACAGAAGGCTTGAGTGAGCTACTGAGAAGACAGAGATGATAAAAAGTATCTAGCAAGAAGTTGCTAGCTTATCTCTGCAGGCAAGATATTTCTGTAAGTAAACAACAGACTGACCTTGTATGTCTATAGATAAATTGGTAAAGTTATAAAGCTGATTTCTGAAGCTCTCCCTGATCCTACATTGTATTACTTGTGTAAATGTACCTATTTATGTAGTGAAAGAGCCTGGCCCTGTGGATTGAGGCAAGCTTGTTTTCTCATGAGGTTTCTATGTTATTCTAGGATGGTGTGAACCTTTGGTTTTTGTTAATCTTGACTGGATTCATATCACAGCTGAATGTCAATAGGCTAAGTGATCCTGTTGCACATTATTAGTCATCTAAAATTTCTTAACACTCTCTACTGGATTCATATCACAGCTGAATGTCAATAGGCTAAGTGATCCTGTTGCACATTATTAGTCATCTAAAATTTCTTAACACTCTCTCTCTGTATATATATATATAAATATATATATATATAAATATATATATATATAAATGTATCACTGATGGGATGTGAACCATGCTTAGCTAATAGAGCAGCTTCTGCCTGGCATTCTGGTGATGATTGTGAGAGCTGAAGGCAGGGAAAGAGATGGAACCATGCTTAGCTAATAGAGCAGCTTCTGCCTGGCATTCTGGTGATGATTGTGAGAGCTGAAGGCAGGGAAAGAGATGGATACTATTACCCAGATGGTTATTTTTGAGGAGTAACCATCTGAAAGAATTAAATGTTCCATGTAAGCAAAATATTGATCAGTAGTAATCACTTGTCCTTCCAACAGGCTGGTATCATTATCTGGTGGATTGTGTGTGGGATTCAGTGGAAGTTCTGCATCAGAGGATGTGGGGTGAAGAAATGGGCCCCCTAAATTTGGGGTCATCCTTTCATCCTTTCATCCTGCAGGAAAGGGAGACAGGAGATTTCTGCCTTCAACCATTCATCTGTGTCCAACTCCCAGACTGAAAGGAGCTGTGTAATGAATGCAAAGTGAGTAGATTTTGCTAAGCTGGAAAAGAATGTCCAGAAAGTTACATTTGTGTGTGAGTTGTTCCTGCATAAGGGTTAAGAGGCAGGCTGCGTGAGGCAAATGTCACTGTTTTAAAAAATCAATTCTCTGCCTTTATAGTGCACTCTAGGTACTGTTAGGTACTCTAACAGTACCTTTGCAGTATGCAGAGCTTCCCCAGGTAGCACAGCTATTTTTATTAGTAATCTCCCCTCCTTCAGCTCCCTGTACAGAGCCAAGTTTAGAGTCAGCAAAATTACTTGGAACCAGCTCATTTTATCCCCAACAGCCCAACCAAGCACAATTAAACTGTATTACCATACATTAGGCTTTGAAGGGGTTCCTTTAGTGCAGTGTATAAAAGTCTTTAAGGAGAGGCAGAGAGGCAAAGGGGAAGACAAACATTCTGTGTGTAACAGGTTAAAGTCCATGTCTGTCCATTGACTTCAGCTGGCCAGGGATGAATACAGACAATTCAATACTTAACAATCAGCAGCTCTGCTTAGTCGGCAAGAAAAGAAACAATTTGAGGTCCAGAGCCTTCCCTGTGCTCCTTCTGCCTTCCTGAATCTCCACTCAGTTGCAGTAGCTCTCTCCTAACAGAAATGACACTCCACAGGGTTGGCTCTTGGATATTTTCTGCTGTGGTGCAAGATTACTCCTTGTGGTTTTATGGGGCATCAGCAGACTTTAATAGTCACCCGAGACAATTATTCAGATACTGTATTGTGCAATAAGATTGCTTTTGAACAGCTGCAGAAATACTTAGCAGAAATACACTCCCTAAAGCCCTGAGATGGGAAATAAAAACAAACAAGCCACAGCAGCAAGACAAGAGTCTGTGTTGCTTACTCCATCTTTCAGCTTGTAGAAGAAAAGGAGTTGTGTAATTGATTTAAAAGTTAATTGGGACAGGGACCATTTTTCATTTAGTGGTCCTTTTAATGCCCAATAATAATAGGCTACAAATACATACTCAGTCACTACTCAAGCACAAATCCTCTTTGGGCAGTGTTGTGACCCAGTGTACAGTTCTTTGCCGTAGAATTTCTCATTAAAATGTTAAAAAGGTGATAAGATAGGGGTGCAATTATTCTCTTCAGTAGTGATGATCTTCTTTGGTGCAATCCTGTTTACAAAGAACATCACAAAATCATACATTCCACTGGTAAATATGGGCAATTTCCTTTCTCAAAGCTTCAGCTTTGCTTTTCTGATGAATACCATGCCTTAACAAAAATACCATTTATATTTTTTCCCCTCCAAGCCACTATAACCTGTGTTTCTCTGTTACACTCTGCTGCAACTAATTAATTTCCTTGCCATTGCAATTCTAACTAGTCCTGGTGAAAATCTTCTGGCTGCTGCAACATATTGTGGCTTAGCTTGTTGCTCTCTGTTAAGTTTCAAAATACAAAGGAGTTTTCAGCTGCACTGTCAATTTTGCTTGAATAAAGAGTGCTCATAAACACATAAAATTTTATGGAATCTCTTAACAGGTATCTGGTCATCAAAACCTGCCTTCAGCTCAGGTCTCAGGAGGATCTGAAGCAGAGCAAGGGAGGAGAATACACTTGCTTAGTTTAATCTCTGAGAGGCTCCCTGTGTCTTCTTAATTCAGATGGGCAGTTGGTGAGGGCTCAGTGGGCTCTGCTTACCCACTCCTCTGCTGGATCATAACTGCTTTTCTCTTAAGACACACTCTGAATATATCCTCACCATTTTTGTCCCAGGATGGCCACGCAGGCAAAGTCAAGCTGGGACAATGTTTTGTACAAAATGCAGTGCATGATATGTTGGGAATTTAGTGGCTGAAAGACTGCTTGTTCACTTTTTACTCATGTGAAGTTGCTCTTGATTTATAGCTGGATCAGCAGAATCAGAATCAGACCCTTGCTGCTCATTTCTGTGGGAGCAGGACTGGGCCTCATGTGCTCTTGTGCTCATTATATATCTCAGCACCAAGTCTCTCAGCTTTGATTCATAGAGTTCTCTTTAATTTGGTACATGCAGCCTTCCAGACTAGATCATATAGCAGCAGGATAACAATCCTCAGGAGAGGATTTCAGTTTGAGAAATTCATGAAGAGGGTGACTTTGCTGCTTACCTTCAATGACACAAGTGGAATAGGAAAGAGAAGAGTGAATGAAATGGAATTGCCAGCCTGTTTCAAAATGTACGCTCTGTTATACAGCAGATGACAAATAGCATCCTCAATAACATAATTCTGGGAGCTGTGCAAGTTTTTGTTGGGTTGTTGTTTTTTCTTCGCTATGATCTGTCTTTTCACACTTAGGCCAGGTTTTTCTTATGCTCTGAAATATTTCCTTGTGCCCTTCTACAGAGAAGGTGTCCACAGGCCTTGCCTGGGGTGAAGGCTAGCAGGAGGAACAGAGCTGCTTTTTACCATGCAGCAGGCAAAGACCTTGAATTCCCCCCTTTTCTATTCCCAAATCCAACACTCTGACAAGGAGTGTTGAACTCAGAGTTGGAGAGAAGTCATCACAATGTGAGATGTTACAGATCTGAGGCAGGTTACTTCCTCATGGAGCAAAGCATGCTGCTTTTCTGAGCTGTGAAAAGCAGTGTCTGTGCCACCTTACATGGGAGGGATGGCAAAGCAGTAACCTTGCCTTCTTCCAGCAGGAATGAGCCACTTTCCTACAGGAGAAGGCATTTTACTATATATTTGGGTGTACTAAAGCTGAAGGGAAAATGTATCCTTGACAGTAGCTCTAGTGAATCATCAATATATGCATATGTATAGAATGAGTGTAGGAGCTGTGCAGCAAGAGAGAAAGAGTTCCTAAAAGAAAAGTGAGCATCTTCCCACTTTAAGAAGAGCAGGATTTTTCTCCTTTCTTTGGAAGATTGGCTTTCCACCCCGGTAGCTGCACCAAGACCATTTGGAATTGAGCTCTTGGTGCTTTTCACCCTATCCTGATTTCCACACAGGTGCCTGTTTGCAAAAGGCAATGTTGGCCTCCAATGGCAGCATTAACTGCCTTTGTACAAGAAAAATTACTTTCTTGTGAAGCAGAGTAAAGGATTTTCAGGGTATTACATATTCATATATTACATTATTAATATATGTATATTACATATACATATTATCAGGTTGAAGTGTGTTGGAGAAATGTGCTTGGCCATATGCTAAGAACAGATCAATGCCAAGATCCCTGACACACCACATCCTCCCAGTCCACATCATACTGCCCTGGCAAAAGCCTCCCAGAGTATGCAGATCACAACCTGGGCTCTTACCTCAATGATGACCTGAATGATCTACAAGAAGAGGTGAGAGAAGCCTTTTGAAGAGGAAGCTTCAGATGAAGGATGGAAGCCAAGTTCTGTCTTTTCCTTGTGCTGGAGCTGACTGTTCCTCCTGGCAAGACTGCAGGATTTATCCCTTAACTTTATAATGTACTTAATTAACTTTTAACAGAGTTAAGTGATTAAACTTGGTTTGGAAGTGTAGACTTTTTCCATCCTTTTCTCATTCTTTTTCCAGCTATTAACATTACACTGCATGATGCATTCAGACACTTCATTGTCTTCCCAGTGCAGAGCAGCTAACACAAAGAGCTGCTCAGCAGCTTAAGTGAGCCCCTTTAGCTGCCCTGCATAACCTTCCAAGCCAAGAGCAACTTCTAGCCCCATATTCTTGCATTTTATGTATGTTCACCATTCACATTCTCTTTAAAACTTTCATGAAGTTGCTTCAGTCACTTAATTCTGAAATTTCAGGTGCTCCATCTCATTTTTAGCCCCTGAAAAGCCTCTCTGAAATTGTGCCTCCTCTACTTTTGGAACCAGTTCAGGGACTCTTATCACTCATTCTTGCCACTCAGTATTCCCTCTGCTCTTCCCTTGACAAGGCAGATAAATTGATATTAATGCTACATAAGGGAGGTCAAGGGCACATTAGAGTGGCCTGATTTGCCTGAATGCAGTCTTATTGGCCTTCCACAGAAGGTGCTGTTAAAATCTGTGGACATTCCATTAATTCCATGAGGAGGAGTGCAAGTTTCCTTCCTTCACTAAATTTTATGGAATAAACAAGCCACCTACAAGGTTTCATGACCTTTTACAATATGTTCAAAAACACCTAAAATACAGCTGTTGCTTAATGAGCTATACTGACTCGATTTTAAGTTTTTTGACTGTTATTCTTGCAGAAATAAATGTAGTTGATTTGTTTCTTCCTCTGCAATAGACCCAATCCAAGTCCTGTGGAACCCAATGTATTTTTTTTAATTTTATTTTTCGGGACATGGCTTACATCCAGCTTAAGTGACACACAAGGATTCCACTTATTCTCACAGTTTTGAAAAATAACCACAGTCACAAGTAGCAGCACCTCCTTTAAACCTGAGTTTTCCTGTTGATGAAGAAGATTAAGAGTAGATGTCAAATGAGTAGGGCCTGTCAAATTGCACCTCTCACAAGTGCAGAAAGCAACAGCAATGGCATCAATTTTCTAAGAACTTTACCCTACAACAGCTTGAGATAACTTATCAGAATAAACACTGATGGGCCAAAGTTTCTAACTAGTTAGTCTGTGCCAGCCAGAAAATTTGGCACCTCTGATAAAGCAGTGAACTTGAGTTTTTACTTCTGTGCTTTTGTGCAATAGTTTTAACAAAGGATAGTGGGTGGTTCCCTGTGCAAATTCCTTAGAGAATCAAAGTTCATTGTGTAGCACTGCAAGGAAGGAAAATAGTATTGTATTATATTGTATTGTGTTGTATTGTATTGTACTCTATTGTATTGTAATGTCTTTCTACAGAATGAATTGTTAAACCAGAATTTCTGCATTTCTCCAGAATAGTGGTTAAAATGTGCTAGCCAGAGGTTTTCTTAATGTTTTGTCAGTTTGATTTACGTATTGGGAATGTTGGAGGTTAAAGATCAGTTGCAAAGAAACAAATTTAATTTCTCTATTTTTTTGGTGGCATCAATGCTCTAAGTGTATC